CTGCGGGACGGGGTGCAGAGAGTCCCGGTGCGAGAGGGGAGGATCCGGGCAACGCTTTTCCTGCCTCCCGGTGAGTACCTCCTGCCACCGCCCCGCCACGGGGGTCTGGCCCGGGCCTGCGCTCCCCGGGGCACCCGCTACCAGTTGGTCGGGCTGCACCTCTTGTTACAGCTTCACCACTGCGGAGGGGAGCTCAACTCCGTCCTCTTTGCAGCCACCTTTCACGGAGCTGGAAGCTATTCGGTGTCCCTCACCCCTCCGCGAGTCTGCCTGCCCCCCAGGCCCTAAGCCTTGCCAGAGCCCTCCCCGGTTTCGGTGCTGCCCCGTGAGCAAGGAGCCAGCACGGGGCGCTGGCCTCATCAATAACCCCTTCCATCTGTTGGCCGCCCTCCTCCACGTGTAGCCCAGCATCTGGGTTTGCCTCATTGGCTCGTGTTCAACCTTGTGTCCAGTGTAAGGCCAAGGTCCTTTCCAGTAGGGCTGCTACTCGGACAGCTGCTTCCCAGGGAAGGGGGCTATTTTGTCCCCAAGAGAATAACTTCACACTTCTTCGTGTTGAACTTCATGACATATTTGTTGGCCCAGTCCTAAGCTCATCCGAGTCCCTCTGGACTGAAGCTCTGCCATTCTTTGTGGCAGTGCTCTCTCTATTTTAGTGTCATCTGCAAATTTGCTGAGGATGCCTCTTGTGCCACCATCCAGGCTGCTGATAAAGGTGTTGAGCAGTATGTACCTCAGTACCACCCCAGAGGTAATCTGCTTGCTCTTGGTTGCCAGTCGAACATTAAACCATTGGTCATTACCCTTTGAGCTTCCAAACGGGAGTGGTGTGGGAGATGGTGTCAGCTAGTCTTTGAGTCACCTTTCCTCTTCTTCCTTGTTTTCCAGGGGAGTCAGCTAGTAATTCCCTGAATACGCTGAAGTTTGTTCTCCTAAAGTCTAGAATCCTAACTCTCCTGCTTCCCTTCCCAGCCTTCCCCAGATCCTGAACTCGGTCATTTCATAGTTGCTGCAGCCCAAGCTGCCTTCTGCTGCCACATTTGCCCCCCGTTCTTCCCCATTTGTGAGCAGAAGGTCAGGCAGGGCATTATACAGTCTTGCCTTTACAGTATTTGTGCCAGAAAATTATCACTGACAAGGTCTGTGAGGTTTCCAAATTGCCTGTCAAAAGCTTTGTTGACCTCCCAGCAACAGTCCAGACTTCTGCTAGTTGTTTTTTGGGAGCCTCATCTCCTGTCTGCTCTTGGTAGGGTGGTCTGTAACAGCCCCGCACACATATCCCACCCTCACCAGGCAAACATCTCTGGTTTCATGCTGGAGCTCTGTGTAGTCAAGGAGCTGCTCTGCACAACACATGTCACTTCCTCTTCTTCTTTGTCTGTCCCTGTACTTCTCCAGCAACTCCTCCATAAACAGCCCATGCTCCTCCATGACTCCTCAGTGACAGTGCTGCAATCATATCTGCCATCCCAGACAGCTTCCCTGATCCTGGTTGCTGTATACTGCAGTGACTGCATGTGAATTTGCAGTTCTTGTTTGCATTAGTGTGCAGACACCTGAGAAAAGCCTCACCCCCCTTCAGAGCAGGAA